AACAGCCAACTTAAGACCTGGTTCTTTAGGCAGGCTTTCCCTCCTGTCATCACCTGATTAATTTTCCTACCTTGAACTATATTATTAGTTGTTTTTTATTTTATTATATTGTTTTAATTTTATCTATTATTGTTAGCTGCCCAGAGTAGACTTTGGTCTAGATGGGCAGGGTATAAACAAACAAACAAACAAACCAAAACTGTCTCCCAGGAGTTGGAAATAATGGGAACATCATCTTCAAGCGTTTGGTGGGCTGCCACACAGATCACTGAGCAAATATGTTGCACCAGCAGAGAGGACCTGACCTAATTAGTTCAAATCACAAGAGGAAGGGTTTAGACTAAACATCTTGAAGAAATGACTTAACAGTGGCAATGGATCAGCAGTGGAACAGAAGGCCTCAGGAGGTGGAATGCTCTTCTCCTCTGAAGGCATTCTAAGGAGAGGCTGAGTGGCCTTTTGCCAGGGGTGGTACAGACTTATCCTGGCATCCATTTGGACCAGACAACCTTTGTGGGATTTTCTCCCTGCTCTGTATTATTCTGTAAGAAGGCAAACCATCGGCACCTGCAGGACAACCTCATTATCTTTGAAGGCTTTTCTCTGAGCACCGGGCCTTCCTGAGGTCAACTAGATGAGCCCCAGAGACTCTTTCTAGATAGCTTTCAGAGCAGTCTGTCCAGAACACGAAGCTCACCAAGCATTAAGCCTAACACCGTCCTGGCTTCAGAGAATAATTTCTCATTTATTTCATTTTCCACCAAGGCTTATTGCGATCTCTCCTCCTTGCAACAAACAACCCTGTTAAGACACCTCAGGCTGAGAGGCAGTGATGGCGAAAGAACGCATCCAGAGGGTTCCCCCATGAACTGAAAACTTTTAAAACAGTGGGTGGGTCTGTTTGGTTCTGCCCTGAAGCCATGCCTTGACCATCCCCCTCCCAGATGGACAGGATTTGACTGGGTGTTTTTTATTGATCTCTATGGCATTGATAGGCATTCTGGAAGCAGTGCTATAAAAAAACCAGTGGGTTACAAATGATCCGAATTAGCGAACAGTTGGGGCTATGCACCGTCAGGAAACGAACTGGAAATACTCTGAAGCAAGCAGACGGCACCCCAGGGGAGCTCAGAGCCAGAGGTTGGGAGTCCCGAGAAGGGCATGCACCAGAAAAATGCCAAATCAGGGTAGTTCATGGCTCCCCATGAACCCCAGACAAATGAACCGGTTCACCGTTAGCTTTTCTGGCTCACGTCTGGCGGGAGGGGAACCTCATACCCCCCACCCCTTCCCACTTGCCCCGCTGCCTCCCTGCCTGCCCCATGCTGCCTTCTCCTCTGTTGTCGCCACCCTCAGAGAGAGACCTCCCCCCCCCCGGCTCTCCTTCAGCCGGGCCAGCGTTCTTTGCTCCTGTGGACGCTGAAGGAGAAGGAAGAGGAGGAGGCAGGACCAGGCGAGAAGGTGATGGGCGACAGAGAGAGGGAAGGGCCCACCTGTTCTGCTGAAACAAAGCACCAGATGAAAAAAAAGTTCAGCAAATGGTTTTGTTTTGGTGAAATGGAATTCACGAAGCGAACTGTGAATGGGCCCAGTTCATGATTGTTTCCCCCCTCCCCCCCAGTTCATAGTTTGGTTTGCGGGTTGGGAGTTCGATTCTCCCACTGTGCCTCCCTGATCCCTAGGGGTCGCTTCCAGCTCTGGAGTTCTAAGATGATGGTAATGATCTTGAAAAACCATGTTGGGAAGAGATGGAGCCGAGCTCTGATCCTCTGAGCCAAAAAGGGCACCTGGCTGCTCAGGATCCAACCGCAGAGACCAACCGGGAGCCTCTGAAAGCCACCAGCACCACCAGAGCCCCCCCTTCTTCCCCCCCAATAAGGCTCTCCTTTTGTACGCAGGGCAGCTGTCCCCTCCCACCCATCCCTGCAGCACCGACAAAGTTACACAAGCACTCCCGTTTTCTTGCTTCCTCCCTCTGTGGTGGCATCAAGCAGCGCCAAAAAGCTTGGCAGAACGGAGGCGGCTTCTCGGTGCCCAAAAGCTGCCTTGGGACTGCATCCAGTGAAAGAGAAAACAGGGGAAGAACAGAGGCCGGCGCAGAAAAGAGGGAGAGAGAGAAAGCGCAAGCGGGCATGTTTGGGGCTGGACCAAACCCTCCCTCCTTCCTTCCTTCCTTGGGGTGAGAAGGTGCTGACCCTGTGCTTGTTCTCTGCTGGCAGACGTTTACACAAGCCCTTTGCCCTGGGCCTGAAGGATACCTCGTGAGGTGCCAGCTCTCTGCCGGCAGCACGTGGCATCAGAGAGTCTGGTGTGCCAAGGCCTTTGGCAAACCCAGCCTGCCAAGGAGAGAGGTTGTGCCAGGCCCTGGCTGGGGAACATGTCCCGAGAGTGTGCCAGACAAGCCTCGGACAAGCCCCTGCCCAGAGGCCTGCTCTCTCTCTCTCTCTCCACCTCCAGGCTCCTCGGAGGAAAAACAGCCCTTTAGGGCAGTGGCCACTCAGACCCCCCCCAGGCGCCTGCACGACACCAAGGGTCACCGTTTCTGTCCACCGCAGTGGCTCTCTTTGAAAACCGCCCGCCCCCCCCCATGGACTTCCAGGAGGGTTTGAGGTCCCTGCCCAAAGGCAGGAGACGAGGGCAGCTTCATCCCCAGCAACAAGGGCACGGAGCAGGTTTACTCGATTGATTCCCTTGAGTTGCCACTCAGGCTCTTGAAACTCACAGCAGGTAACAGGATCCGGCCCAGTGTGAGGGAGCTGATCCAAGCAAGGCCAAGTGCCTGGTGGATCAGGCCCCAACCCCCTTCAAAAAGTGCTCCTCCTTAGAAGCAGAACCAGGCTGGCGGAGGGCAGAAGACGGAACGGGTGCGAAGCCACATTGGTACCGGGAGGTTCTTTTAATAGCATTTAAATAAGGCTTCGAATAATTACACACACTAGAAACTAACATTCCAGAATCTCGTCCTGCACGAAGAGGAGCCAAAGCCATCGTTCTGCGTCCTGTACGGGGGTCTCGTTCTGAACAATTACATTCAAGAAGAGGTGACCGGCGGGGAAGCAGAGAGGGAAACGCCCCCACGTCTGAGAAAGTCTGTTACACCTCACAGTGTTCAAAGTCAATTTAGACCCTTCCGGTGTGAGAAAGGTGAGGGGAAAAAAAAAAAAAGTGTGTGTGTTTGTGTGTGTGTTGAAGGCTCGGTCAAGCACCGGGAACTCCTCTCCAAAGCCTGTCATGCTCCCCGCTCCTGAGAGAGAGGAAACATTTAGGAAAAGCAAAGCCAAACTGCAGCAAACAAAGTAGGACGACCCGGCCCCCATCCTGCACAATAGGGAAGAGACCTGGGTTGTTCTCGGCCAGCCTGCTCTGAGCCGGATATGTGTTTCGTTCATTTAAAAGAGAGAGGGAGAGAGAGAAAGCGCAAGCGGGCATGTTTGGGGCTGGACAAAAGAGAGAGAGAAATGCCCCAAAGAGGGAGTTTGGGAGGGTTGGGGACAAAAGAAACCACATTTCGAGTCCGAAGCGAGCAGGAACACTCAGAAAAACTTGTCGTCGATTCTGAAGTGAGGCCGCGTGACGTCATCGGGGTTAATGAAGACCGAGATGGATTTGCCCGGGTTCTCAGTCACAAGCTGCTGAAGTTTTTTGGCTAGCCGGTCGTCCGGCTGGCCGGTCTCCCCGCCATCCGACTGCGGGGAGGGGATGCTGGTGGCGCTCCCCCTGCGCTGCAGCTCGAGCGTCAGCCGATTGGCGGCCTTGACGTGCTCAATGGCCGTCTGGAGGTGCTCGGCGGGATCCGAGCGCACCGAGGAGAGCTTCCGGGCGTGGAGCATGACCGTCTCCTCGGAGAGGTGCTCCAGCATGTTGCACTGGGGGATGAAGTAGTTGGGGCACATCTTGTTGACCAAGCAGTGCTGGAGATCGTCAATGAGGCCCAGCAGGAAGTGGGCCGCGTAGTCCTCCTGGGCCAGGTAGTTTGCCGGCAGCCGGTCGCAGGCCCAGAGCATCATGCTGCGCAAGTGATAAGGGCTGATGGCCTTGGGGCGCGAGAGCAGCTTGATGATGATGGCCTTGCAGGCCTGGTAGGCTTGCATGAGGCTGCTGGAGATGCACTTCTTGAGCTGAACTTCGCTGCGGGCGAAGGAGAGCCGCCACTCGTTGTCCTTCCGGCCTTTGTAGGAGCAGGCGGGCACCAAGTAGAACCCGCTGATGACCTCTTCCTCCGTGATCTTCCCGTCCCAGAAGTGGTTCTCCATCAGCCAGCTCTGGGCCACGGCCGGCCAGCCTTTGAAGGACACGACAGGCACGATGTCGTAGAGCATGCGGCTGCTGCCCACCCCCAGGATGATGGAGATGATGGTGCCGCTCTTCTCCACTTTCTCCACTTTGGGCATCCCTCTCTGAGGCTTCTTCTGGATCTCGGAGAGGACGATGCTGATGGAGTCGTAGAACCAGTCGGCCACTTTGGTGGGGGAGAAGAAGTAGTTGGTGGCCCCGTTGATGTGGTCCACGATGGTGCAGCAGTCCTTCCACTTGCTGATGGTCCCTTCGTCGAAGAGCCGCAAGCTCAGCCACGAGTGGCACAAGGCGGAGTGGCGCATGTCCAAGGTGACGGGCTGGTTCCGGTCGTGGAGCTTCAGGGCCGGCACCAGGAGGGTGAAGTCCATGTCGTAGTCCGTCCCACGGGCGTAGACGTTCAGCTCGTCCAGGTCTAAGTCAACCACGCCCTCCCGGACACCCCCGGAAAGCAGCAAGTACTCGTTGGCGACCGGCAGTTTTTGGTCCAGTTTCTGCACCATGCCTGCAGAAAGGGTGGGAAGCGGGTGGGAAGAAAAGGGGGGGGGGAAAGCACAATTTTAGAGAAAGGCAGTTCCGTGGCACCTAGCCAGCTCCCTGCAAAGAAAGAAATACGCTGAAACCCAGACCCTTATGCGAGCAGCGGATGCTTCCACGCTGTCCTCCCACCCGAACGGCTGCCATCTTGCAAAAGTCTCTCCTGCATCCCAACCCCACCCTGAAACCTGCCCTTCTGGGGCCAAAGGAAACCAAAGGGACTAGCACCATGCGGCTGGAATTCAGCCATGCAGGAAAAGAGAAGGGGCGCAGATCCCCAGGCAGACACACCTGGAAAGAATAGCTGTGATGCACAAGCAGGGCTAGGGGGTGCCTGGGTTGTGTGTGTGTGTGTGCGCGCGCATGCGCGCGCGAGCACGCCCAGCACTTCAGCTGCTGTTTGCCGCTTCCTCAAAACCCTATGCCAATATGAGCAAGGAGTCTCCGGGGGTCTGAAAACAACCCAAGTGACTCTCCAAGGGAGTACAGTGGGGTCTTGACTTGAGAACTTCATCCGTAGCTGCTGTTTGCCGCTTCCTCAAAACCCTGTGCCAAGATGAACATGGAGGTCTCCGGGGATCTGAAAACAACCCAAGCGACTCTCCAAGGGAGTAGAAACAAGAGACCTCGTTTGGGAGACCAACAAGACCCGCAGGTTTCCTCTAGCAGAAATCTTTGCCAGACTTCGGGAAAGCAAACAAACTGAGGTCCATTGACCTACAGTGCATTGAAAACCGATTAATCCCGTAACAGGCCGTTTTTGTTCCATTTTGGTTTTTTTCTGGTCTGTAAGTCAAATCTCAGGCTGCAAGTCAAGCCTAAATTTTGCGGCCAGAGAAGTCTGTAACTCAAAAAGTCTGTAAGTCAAGCCGTCTGTAAGTCAAGGGTCCACTGTGGAAACAAGAGACCTCGTTTGGGACACCAACAAGACCAGCAGGTTTCCTCTAGCAGAAATCTTTGCCAGACTTCAGGAAAGCAAACCAGGAAAACTGAGGTCGAAGAAATCCCATTCGTCATTAAGGGCCAGCACAGGAATTAAAGCTGCTGCTGCCGCCACCTCACACGGGGTCAGATCCTGCCAGCCCCTCCAGGCCACTGTTCCCGGCTCTGACTGGCAGCTGGAAACAGTGCCGGTCAGAGGATCAGCTCTCTAGGATCTCCAGCAGGATCCCCTCCGAGCCCTACCGGGAGAGGCCCATGACGGAATCTTCCCTATGCAGAATGGGGATGCCATCACCAGCTTCATGGCTACCTTGATGAAAAATGAATGCTCGCATCCCCAGATCTTTGGGGAACCACAGCCGTCCCGCGCATGGAGCGCCACCTAACTAGTAATGCACAATGCTAAGAAACAGTGGTATTAAAGCCACTTTAAAAGCACATCAATCATATGGGGCACATCCACCACCACCACCCAAAACTCCTCTTCTGCATCATCTCTTGAACTCTCCAGGGCCAGGATCTGTCCGTGTCTCCTGCAAGCGGTCCAGGCAGGATGGATGCTGCTCGCTTTAGCCAGCTGGTGAGCTTTACTGCGTTTGGCTTTCCACCTTTCCTGTTCTTGGAAAGGGCATGGAGTGGATGGTTGGCCCATCACATCACATACATATGTGTGTGCGCACCACGGCCAAGAAGCCCGAAAAACCCACAACAACCATTAGATCCCGGCCGTGAAAGCCTTCGCGAATACACTTTAAAAGCACTTCAGTCGTACGGCATGCATCCCCTGCCATCACCCAAAACTACTCTTCTGCATCATCTCTTGAACTCTCCGGGGTCAGGATCTGTCCGTGTCTCCTGCAAGCGGCCCTGGCAGGATAGATGACGCTCGCTTTAGCCAGCTGGTGAGCTTTACTGCGTTTGGCTTTCCACCTTTCCTGTTCTTGGCCCATCACGTCACATGCATGTGTGCGTGTGCACACACTTACACATGCACACACACTCACATGCAGGTAGCGAAGCTGGCTCTAGAGCATCTCTCGGAACGTCACCAGCTGGGTTTTCCATTCGGCCCTGGCTACAGCGCTCCAAGGAAAATTGGGGCGACCCCTTTCCTGCCACAAAGAGTGAGGAAGGGGCCATGTGAGGCACCACGAGAGAGCGAGACCCTCAAGGACAACCCGTCCAGTCTACAGCTGGCTCCCTAGCACACGTCCCTGAAAAGGGAAGCCCGCTCTTTCCAAGCTGGTAAACTGAGGAAAAGACCTCCACGTTTAGGCAGTGCCCGACTCTCCGAGCATTTCACAGAGAGAGGGGCGGTCGATCCCTTCATTTTAGGCCAAGCGCAGGCTCCTCTCCTTTCTGCCCACCAGGGCTCCCCCCGGGCGATTTACGGTAACCCTAAAAGGTTCCAATGCTTTCTGGCACCCCTGCCATCCGTTTTTATATCAGCCTTTGATTCCCACCTTTACCACCAGGAACGGCTGGGTTGCTCAGTGTTTTAATTCTGCTTGCCCCGATGGTCACAGGGATGCTGGATTCGGAGCCTCCAGAGGTAGAAAGCTTGGATCTTCTCCGTAAATGCACACAAACGTCTCCAGCCTTTACAACTGCAGGAAATTCACTCCAGGCTCTGTGCTCAGAGATCAACCGAGAGCACCTCCCGCTGTGGAGGAACCAACAATCCTGGGGCTGACCTTGCCCTCTCCGGCCGTTAACCTGAGCCATTCTGAGCAGGAGGCTGGATTCTGGGGATGGGGTGGGAACAGCTCTGACCTTGGCTTCCTCTGTTGTCTCCTGGGCAGCTTTCCAGCCAGAAGCCTCTCCTGCACGACTCCCAATGCAGGCAATGCCTCTAGGCTGGAGGTAGAGTGCCCCCATCTCCTTGTGGCTATAAAGATGTCTCTCCCGCCCCGCAATGTGGCACCTCTCCCAACAACTGGACTACAGGCCCCATCAGCAGAAACCCTGCTGGAAGGATCTGTTCTTGATCATCCCAGAGGGCAGGACACATCATCATGGGCTCAAGGGACAGGAAGCCAGATTTCAGTTGAATATCAGGAAAAACTGCCTGACTGTAAGAACAGTAAGAACAGTACAACAAGGGAACCCATAACATTAGGAGGTGGTACGCACTCCAGCGCTGGAGGTATTCAAGACAAGACAACCAGCTGGCAGATCTCCTTCGATCTGGATTCCTGCCTTGAGCAGGGGGTTGGACTCGATGGCCTTAGAGGCCACTTTCCAACTTCACTGAGGGGGTTGGACTCGATAGCCTTAGAGGCCACTTTCCAACTTCACTCTCCTATGATTCTATGAAAGGCAGGCATGTTTTAATGCCTGTGTTGGACAAAAAGAGAAAAGGAAGTTACCAACCCATCCTTAAGGAGGGGCCTGAGCACTTTTTCCTCTGCTGGAAATAGAGCCCAATATACCCCCCCCAACAGACCTCTCTGGTGCATGAGAAAGGGCCCAAGAGCCCCCATTTAGGCCGTGCGTCCCTCGGTTTGTAAGGGGCAAGCCCAGCAAGAGATGTACACATTGGGGGGGGGTTCCTACTCCTCTGCCTGCGTCATTGAAAAGCTGCTTGGCCACGTCACCTCTAGACTTCAGCAAATGGCTCGGCGTAGTTAGCAAAGGGCATCATCATCTCAGGTAGGAGGCCACGGTCACCTGGGACGAGGAGGAGATCCAAAACAGCACAAGCCTGGACTCTCACATGTTCATCATGTGCTGTTCTGAAACGGCCACAGAACATCACGCTCTGGAAGGAAAGGAGAGGCAGACAGGAACGAGTGGGGGAAACAGGTTCCTTGCCTCCTGCCACAGCTTTTTCCTTTTTTAAGTGCGTTGTTAACTAAACCTGCCACTGAACGAGAGCCCTATGGGACGGCTAGAGTTATTTTTGGGGGAACTATTTTTAAAACCACATGCCCAAAGAGTGTGAGGCCGGGCGCCCTTTCAGAGATGCTGTGAGGCAGTCAAAGGAGAGGGAAGGTTTTGGATGAAAGATGTGTGTGTGTGTGGGGGGGGGGGAACCTTCCCATCCTCTCCTTCATCGCACCCTTTACTTCCACTGAAGGATCCATGAACAGGCCCTTGGCAAATGTTCCACTGATCTTTTCCTAAAACAGCAAATGCTCTTTTAAAATTTTTATTTCATTTTATTTTACTTAGCTGAATGATTGATGAAAAACCAGCTAGTGTTTCTCAACACGTGCAGGTCTTTCTGTCCCCTACAGGAACGGGCTGCCTTGCCCCCTCCATGCCTTCTCCCGTGTATGTTCCTGCTCCAGGGCCGCTCCTGACGGCATCCAAAGTCACAGAGACTTGGGCCAAAGGAAGGGGCCCGGGGTGCGGTTGGACCCTTCTGCTTGACAGAGCAAGTACAGGCGTACCTTGGTTTATGAATTTAATGCATTCTCCAGTATGTTTCGTAATGAGAAAAAATTGCAAATGGAAATGCAGTTTCCCCATACACGGGGTGGTGCTATAAACCTCTCAGGCGCAGTGCAAATTTGCTTCGTATTGCAGGAAAAAAAATCCTAAATCGAGGCATCATTTTCATTCGTAAACCAAAAATTATGTTAACCAAGGCCTTTTTTAAACTGAGGTACAGGCACTGTACGGGCAAGGATCCTGCACTCCAGGCTGCAAAAGGGCTGAGAGGCAGGAGTCCAGGATCTGCCCTCTGCCCTGCCCAAATCATGGAATCGCAGGGATTCGGGAGGTTTTGTCCAGCAAGGAACTCAGTCCAAGCTCTCCTGCCCCACTTTTCAACCTCAGTCCAAGTTAACATCCAGGAGAGCCACCAGCCTGTAAAGACTGGAAGGCTGCTGGTGGCAGTTGCCTTTTATTAGGTGCAACGAATGTTGCAATTAAAAAATATACGACTTCAGAGAAGCCAATGCTCAGTCTAGACTAGAGCAACAGTTCCTGAATACGGGGCCTGAGATGTTCCCAGACTGCATCCCCCAGAAGCCCTTGCCAAGCACAGCCAACATTGCGCACAGGTGCTCAGGTCTCTGG